GCTATGCTGCACCCACGTGCTGCACACAAGCCATAATCAATCCCGGCTCTGTTCACAATGCAGCCAATATCTGGGAAAATATACAGTACATTTGAAGGCTGTTACATTTTACAGTGCTCCATGCCTTGCTTGAATCCGTCCACAAATCCCTGAAGCCACCAGCAATATTCCCCTTAGCCGCACAAAACTCAGATGGGTCTGTTGTGCAATATAGGCCACCTTACATATACTCCGGGTTTATGAGATCCTAAAAATGCAGGCTTTACTGAGATGCGGATAGACTCAGGGGAGTATGGGTCCTTGAGCTTAGCTGCAAGTCTGTTAGTAGGGGGAACTTTTCCGCATGAAATAAATCTGCCTGGTCAGGTTTACTCTTTAAAAAATAATAAGTCCACTCGGTGGTTAGGTGGCTCAGGAGGCTTGTAATGACCATGTGAGATCATTTAGGCCATGCCACTGAGATCCTGGGTTTAAATCCTGGCAGCCACCCAATGTTCAAAGCAGATTTTCAAGAGGGGTGAATGTTATGGTCTCAGTCCCTTTACAAAAACAAGAGAAATTTGTCTTAAAATTGGGGTTATTAACTTAATTTGACCCAGCCAAGAAAGCTACGAGCTCTAACATTCATAAACACAAACGCCAGAGAGACAATTGTTGTTTACTAAGCACAAAGGAGCAGCTTCTTATAATAGCGCAACAATGCCAATAGGTTACCCAGGAACGTCTCGCCAGGTCTCCAAGACCCCTTTTCAGGAGGGCCGTGCCATGGGGATGTTTTGATCAATGTTGGAAACAAATGTGGCAAGCAAAAGCAGTAAGGTGAAAACAGGGCAAAGGGTGAAGCCCTGCAATTGCTTGCTAGCGCCGCTGGGGGCGGAAGACTCCTCCACCCCAGTTCTAGTCAGGCTCAGCTCCGCTTGGCTTCCAAAGTGAATGTCATGGTCTGAGCCAGTTCTCAAATCAACGCACACGTAAACATTATTCTAAATAATGTTTTTTTCACGGCATGTGGCCCAACACAACTTTAACGTCTAAAATTGCTAAATGCATATAGCGTGCGGAAAAGCAGACTGTATGGTGCGTGATGAAGAGCCCTCGAGTGTTGAGTAAAATATGATATTTGAAGTGACTGCAGACAAAGTAGTGTAGGGTTGTATGTTTTGTTGAACTTCTTTCGCACCGTGCGTAGCCAACTGTGCTAACTGAAGGTGCAGGGAAACACAGAAAGCTCCAGTGGCTTCCTGGTCCCTGGCATAGAGTTATCTTCCAGCAACATTCCCTCCCATCATGCGATGCTCTGCTGAAAGACAAAGTATCGGGATACATTTCTTTGCCGACCTCGCGATGTGACTGCAAAATTGGGGTGACACATTGGTGGGTTCCTTGTCCAATTAATGGGCACGTATAACGTATCGGTGGTGACCAACTAGCTGAACCCTTCCTTGAAAAAACTCTTCTCCAATTTGTGCTGACCATTTGCACTGAACAGCGTGGTTCAATAACCCCTATGATCGACACGGCATGTGGAAGCTTTCATCCAGCGGTGGATTGACAACTTTCTGTAAATTGTTATTAAGGGGCTCTATCTTACGAAATCATTGTACACATTTCGTAAGGCCATACTTGTAAGGCCATGATTCGCATCGTGTGTGCCTGATGTTCAATTATTGTTGAATAACATAAATGTGCTAATTAGTCCATCATTCGTCCAGGGTCAATAAAATGAAAATCACTTCGTAGGGAAGTAAACAGTGGTCGTACTAAGCTCAAAGTCCCTGTCGTAGAAAGGTGGAATGTCCATGACTGACTCAGGGATGTTAACAGGGAATTAGCACAACCTTAATGCTCATTTGTGCAGGTAATCACTTTGACTTTTGACAAAGAAAATAAGTATGCCAATAGTTTTGCTATACTCTCATAACTTAATGTACAATTTGAACCCTTAAAGTTAAACATAATTACATTGTATGCGATTATGTTTTCTCAACTCAGGCAAATTACTCGCGGCTAGTGAGCAAGCGAACAATATCTATGAGTGCATGCTTGCAAAGTATGCATGCATGTATGCATGCACGTATGTATGGCATGTGGTTTATACAAATACACGTGATTATACGCACTACTAGACTATTATACATATGGCGGCTGTTATGTAGCATTAGCAACCTGCATTTCATGAAGCCTACGACACTTCAATAGTGTCCATCATAGCACTAGGCGAAATCATGGTACGCTTAAGAGGGTCACAAAAACACGTACACACAATTACATGTACATGCGGAGAAATACACCGTGGAGTAATATATACACACTCATAAATCAACACGAGTGTAATCCATGTAACGTACTGTATACGAATTTAATCAGAAATCCATTTTTGGGACCGTATGATACATATCAGCATCTCAAGACACTGCCGAAGAAAAATGTCGAAAAACCGGCACAGCTATTTCATTTTCTCACTCCCACAAACGGGCAGGAACACTCCCCATTTAATATCATATCTCAGCAAAAAAAAGCAAGGCTAAGCAATGTATGACTTTGGCTCATCACAATAACAAACTAAAACGTTTAGCAAAACACACGCATCATTCATAGGGACCGCACCACACATGCAAATGTGTGCATAGAGATAAATCGTGCCATTCAAATAAAACCTAGGCTGTTTTTTTTTTCCCCTTTCGTTTGTTTACGTGCCCCGAGGTGGTGCAATTATCTCCAAAGTATTGATCGTATTCCTCGGCCATGTTCCATCCGCTGCTGGATTAAATCCTCCCCAATCTCCGCTGCCACCTTGTACGATCCTGCAAAAGTGCGGTCAGACAATCCCCGTGGCCAACAAGGGGCGGCGGGAGGCCGTCATCCAGCAGCAGCGGATTGACAGGACCTACAATTATTATTTTTTATCATATTATACTGTACACGTGGATAATGGTGGGTTCACTTCCCTTGACGCATTCTATAATCTCTCGAGGGCCGATAGAATGAGTTCTAAACTGGTCCTCGTCATGGGAATGTGCAATTTCCACGACAAGCTCAGGGCCACCGACGAATATTAATACTTAACTCATTGCTCATTTGAGTCGGGAGAGCGGTTTGACGACGGTTTATAAATAGTGTGTGCTTCAAAAAATGATAACACGGATATGGGACCGTCGTTTTTAATGGGGGGGAAGAAAAAAACCGGATAATGCACTCTGACATGACAAACAAATCTATGTTAATAGTTTCAAAAAGTCAAAGAGTCTCCCACTTGTTCGCCATTATTGTCAACACGTGGCCTGAAATCTTCTCCAGGTGATCTCCAGAGCACGGAGGCAAGCACATTGCTCGCGGTGTTGTTGCAGATTCTCTCGTGTGTTAACGTTTTTTTTGTGAAGCACCCTATCTATATATTGTGTGCTCGTGTGTACGTGTGCGTAGCGGGAGCGGGCGTGTAACCAGTTAGCACAACGCGCTACGAAACCGGCGACCCAAGTTCGATTCCCGCTCACAGCCAACACCAGTGACGCTTGTCCGAAACGGTTATGGGCCTCTACAAGGTCGACTCAGCCTAAAATGAGTACCTGGTGCAGTGTGTTGTCAACATCGCCGCTGGGGAGACAAAGGCGGCCGGGCGTAGTGCTGGTCACCCCACCCCCTCGTGTGCCGTGCCAGCCTTCATAGGTGCTCGCTAACAGCACTTGCCTCAACAGTACGTTCAGGCTATACAGGGGGTCTTTGTCTTGTGTGCGCGTGTATGTATGTGTTTGTCTATGTGTTTCCATTACGTTTCGTCGACTCAGCCTCAAATGAGAATCTGGGTGCGATGTGTAAACATCGCCACTAAGGGAGACAAAGGCGGTCGGGCGTGGTGCCGGCCACCCACCCCCTCGTGTGCCGTGCTTCTTAGGCGCTAACTCGCGAACAGCAATTGCCCCAACAGTCTGTGAAGGTTTAGACGGGTTTTTTTTTTGGGTGTGATGATGGTCAGCTAGGGTTTCTCAAAACCAACATGTATCCGCACACTCTCATCCACAGCACTGTGCCTGTTTAGAGTGTACCAAATTAACCACCGTTTAATACGATTGGTGTCGTTTTCGTTACACGACACGTGACCCGGGCATTATTCGAATCTACAATCGCCGGGATTGCGAGGGCAACATTGATGGCGAAAACGAAGAGAGAACCCCTGGTGATAAATGTTGAAGGGCTGAGAGCTGAGACAAAGAGCGAGATTATATAGGTAAGGGCACGTGAAAACAACAGACTGCCAACACACGCGCGCACACACAAAACACAACTAGACAAGCAACGTCTCTTTCGCATGTCTGCCTCTCCAGGTATAAAAAATAAAAGTACTGTATTTCTTACACAACCCATAAAGACCCACACCCCTTCCGGGGGAGTGCATCGTTTCAGCAGCATTGATTCAGCACAAGCAAACCCTGGGCCGGTGTTAACCCAGTGTCTAATCGGGCTCGTTTGAATGCTGTTGAACTTTCAGATCCTGTAGGCAAGGACCCCCCTCTGGGTCCATGGAAACAATAGACCGACATCACGTGAAAACAATAGACCGATAAAAAGAGGGGGGAAAGACGGAGGGAACGTCTAAGTAGGAGACTGAGTGACTTGTTAAGTGTGGCCCTGGAAGATGTAAGTGGAGACTGCGGGATTGCTGGGGTGAAGAGGAGATTTGAGAATAAATTTAAGTGTTGAGAACGACCCAACGACACGCTGGGGTGGAGAATGACGTGAGCGCCGCACGAGCCTGATGATTGTTAAACCACGTTCTACGCGACGCAGGAGCGTATGTGTGTCTGTGTGTATGTGGGGAGCGGTAGTGTAGTGGTTAGCGCTACGCTGCGCTCTGAACCCGGCGACCCGAGTTCAATTCCGGCTCACGGCCAACACCAGTGACGATTATTTGAACCGGTCCTGGGCCTCCCCTAGGTCGACTCAGCCTCAAATGAGTACCCGGTGTGTTGTGTAAACATCGTTACTCGGGAGACAAAGGCGGTCGGGCGTGGTGCTGGCCATCCACCCCCTCGTGTGTCGTGCCGGCCTTCATAGGTGCTACTCGCCAACGGCCCTTGCCCCCTACAGCCTGCTAAGGCTACACGGGGGATCTCTGTCTCTGTACTGTGTGCCCCACATGACGTTAGGGGGAAATTCGCTCAATCGAAATCCGAACCCCCCCCCCTCCGCTGCCGGCGCGTGTTTACCAATAATCTTGTCGCGTGCAGCGTGCGGCGGGGGGTGGGACGCGACCTCGCAGCGCGTTTTTTAAACATTGTACACCATTTCGAACGACGTAAATTGGTAAAAATCAGACGATACCGTCAACGTGGTGTGGAGAGAGTGTGTGGTGGGTGGGGGGGGTAAGGTGGTTGCCACCTTCAAGGCTAAACCCGCGGTGTGGTTGCCCCCCCCCCCCTCCCATCTCTCCGCTCTCTCTCTCCTCTCCCTCTACTCGCACTGTCTCCCGATGACACAGTAAGCCTCCTGTGGCACGGTGGGGCTCTTCCTGCACTGAGCCAGGTTGGACCAGAACGAGCGGCGCAACTCCCTGTTGCTCGCGTAGCACAGCAGCGGGTTGACGCACGCCTGGCCGTACGTGAGCCACGCGGCGGTGGCAACGAAGCCGTGCGGCAGGGTGTGACCGCGGGCGAAGACCCTCCAGAAACACGCCACCAGGTAGGGGAGCCAGAGGGCCAGGAACGCCAGCGTGATGGCGTAAAACATCCTGCCGATGCGCTTCTCCGCCTTGAAATCGTCCACGGCCAGAAGCCTCTTGTTCTGCGCGAAAAAGTTCTGGCGTATGCCGACGAGCGTCGGCGGCGTGGGGCCTCTGCCGAAGCCCGCGATCCAGTTGGAGGCCGCTTGGCCCGTGGCACCGGGCCCGTGAAATGTCCAGTTGTGGCTCACGGCGGGCACGACCTGCGCGGGTCTCATGCGCCGATGTTCGTGCACGAAGCAGACGAGCTTCGCGTACACGACGTGCGTCGCCACGATGATGACCACGAGCATGAGCATGAAGCCCAGCGAGTCGTTGGCCCTGAAGTGTCGGTGCTCGAAGTGGCACTGGCCCTCGTCCCTGATGTACTTGTACGTGCCGATGTCGAAGACGGGCGGGAAGGCCATGGCCACCGACAGCGTCCAAGCAGTGCACAGCACGGCGACGCAAGTCCACAGGGTGACGCGCTTGCAGTAGAAGCGGTGGTGTGCGATGGCGATGTAGCGCGTGATGGCCACGCAGAAGAGCACGAATACGGCGTGGAAGGCCGAGAGCACGGAGAAGAAGGCCACCACCTTGCAGCCCAGCGGCTCGTAGGGCCACACGGAGCCGCGCATGGCCGAGGCCCAGACGAAGGGGAAGCAAACGGCAGCGCGGGCCGCGTCGGCTAGACAGAGGTCCAGGAGAAAGTAGTAGGGCGCGCGATGGAGGCTCTTCTGGCGCAGCACGTGGAACGAGAGCAGCAGGTTCCCGGCCAGGCTGGCGAAGATGATGATGCCCAGGGACGCCAGCTTCCCCCCGGCAGGCTCTCTCGATGGCAAGTAGAGGCCGGCCGCTGATGCCGCTGCCGAGATGACACCACCTCCAGCGGCCGTACCAGCTCCTCCTCCTCCTCCACCGCTGCCGCTGCTGCTCACGTTGATGTTGATGATGTTCGCCATCCGCGCTCGTGGTCGCGAAGAAGGGGTGCAAGCATGGATGCTTGGAAGAGACACGGGCTGTGCCTGGTGGTTGTTCTCGCGGTGGTTAAGGATGCTGTCGATCGTTCCCCTCCGTTAGCTCGCTATCTCGCGTCGCTCCTCAGTGGGCCCCGTGGGCTACACATCTATACGCCGGCATAGACGTGCGGTCAAAGGCTATAGCGGGGGAGAGGCTGGGTTCAGTGTAAACAACCTATTCGCCGCGATTCATATATTATTTATTTTGTTATTTCCATTAAACTAAACGTATTTACAAAGGCAATGCGAGCGAGAGAGCGATCACCGAGATGTCCCCTCTGCACGTAATCCGAGCAAGCCGAGCGCCCGGCGCCCTCAACAACGTCAAGAAATCTGCCCCATCTACCGGAATGATCATCACCATCATCATCATCCCTCGCTCCATCCCCGCCGCTGACACCGCCCACCGCCTAACGCCTGGAGCGCGTTTCGTGATCTTAGGGAGGAGAGGGGGTGGTGGTGGTGGTGGTGGACTTAATGGAGCGGGCCGGTACTGAATTAATTATGAAAACAACGAGACACTAAAAAAAACGGAAGCGAGACGATAGGCGAAGGGGAGAGGAGGTGACGGCGATCGTATTGCAATGGTAACGGTTTTAATACTGATCGAGTTATTTAGGCGAGACTGTTTATATATTTACGTAAACGCAGCTCGGCGGCTGCGTTTGAGCATTTTCAACAACAACAACAACGACAACGACAAAAAACATTGATTTAAATCGCCGCTGTCGGAACGAACGAGGCGACAATCAGCGAGCGCAAGAGGCAGCGGTGACGACGCCGGCCCGCCACCTCGACTCGCACCGCCAGACCCTCAGGATAATAAAGCAACACAAAAAGGGGAGAAGAAGATGAGAGAGAAGAGAGAAGATAAATAAAGGGACGCGACCAAATAACGACGACGGTCTACGTGCTGTTAAGCGAGCGTAACGGCAGCAGCAGCAGTAGCAGCAGGGCACGCGGTGTCTGAGCGCGTAGTCAGTGATGTTCACGAGAGCGGCTCACGAACACAGGCAGCCGCTTCAGCCTCCGTGCATAACCCAGCCCCTTCCCCACCACCCCTCCACACTCTCTCTCTCTCTCTCCGCTCCTTCCTTCATTCCACCCATCCCTAACACGACTACGACATCATCCCTCCCTACACCCCCCATATCCAGAGTCGCAGCACACACACACACACACAGCATCGTCATCGTCATTATCATCCCCGCAGGCTTGCCAAGCTGTCTGCACGCCCGCGTGTGTTTGTGTGAGCGTGGCACCACCCGCCACCCACCCCTACGTGTGCCGGCCGGGTTCGATTCCCGCTCACGGTCAACGCCAGTGACGAATATCTGAACCGGTCGTGGGCCTCCCCTAGGTCGACTCGGCCTCAAATGAGAACCTGGTGCGGTCTGTAGTAAACATCGACACTGGGAAGACAAAGGCGGTCGGGCGTGTTGCTGGCCATCCACCTCCTCGTGTACCGTGCCGGCCTTCATAGCTGCTACTTGCTAACAGCACTTTCCCCAACAATCTGTTGAGGATAGATCAACCCTCCCCGCTTCTACCGCTCCCTTGAGTCGTTTAATAAATACTTATTTTTGTACTCAAGCTAAGCCAAAGCTTATTGTTGTTGTTGTACCGCACCACTTTATTTAGCGGTGTGTAATGTGTGTGAGTAAGCAGGATTTTTTTCCCCCCACGTTGTGTTTGCCTTCGAATAAAGGACTCACAGTTGTTATTTTGGAGGAGGTTTGTACTTTGCTCGATTATCTCCCACCGATCCGCGCGGCCAAGGTGAGGCCCTCATCCAGCAGTGGATCGAGGGACCCGACTACGTGCACGCCGCTATTAGTGGGATACATCATTGGCATGCGGTCATGTCAGCAGATATTTGGAGAGTATGCCAACACCTCCACGATACGTTCTACTATTGTAGGCTAACGCAGATTTCACGACGATGTATAACCACGATTAGATGATGATCAATATAATTGCACGAGCACAAACTAAATACGGAATGATTCGCGTGGGGGTGGAGGAGGTGACGTGGTCTTTTTTTTTTTTAGCAACGCGCCGTGAACCCGGCGACCATTGGTGAGCCGGTCCCGTTTTTACACGACCGACACAGCGTGTTGTGGGGGAGACATTCATCTAGCAGTGGATTGACAAACGGGCTGTGTGAGTGTTATGTGAGACGTCACGTTTTCGCGGTTTAACAAAAGCAATTGTAAATTTGCACAATCGGCCTTCGCTGACGTATTGTCACGTTTCGAATGTTTCGCAAAAAAACATAGCAAGTCTGTCGTAAGCTAAATTCATATTGCTACTGTGCAGTCTGCTGGGATGAATAGTTGCATTTTTATGGTCATGTCATGAATATCAAGTTGCGTCTGTGACTGCTGCAGCAGCAACAACAACGCATATATTTGCCTTCCTTCTACTCAATTCTGATTGTAGCCTCCAAATTTAATTAATAACCACAGCCGTAAGTCAATTCCCTGCTGGATGAAGGCTTCCCCACACCATGCTGGCAATGAGGGGTTGTTTGTTTCTATGTACGAATTTTTTTTGCACCGTACGTAGCCAACCGTGCTAATCGGAGGTGCGGGGGCAAGACAACAAACTAAACACAAAAAGCAGTTCTAAAGAAATCGGTTTTCAATTTAGATGATTTAAAAGTTCGCAGCTCTCAGTGGTTTCCTAATATCGGAAGGAAGAGCGTTCCAGACGGCCGCAGAAGCGCATCTGAAAGGGCCGCGATGCTGTGACCACCGTCTTTGTTCGATGGCCAACCAAAAGCCGCTACATCATCATCAGGGATTAATTTGTCACTAAATGTTTACTGGAAGGCTGCTGCCAGGCTGGCTTGGAGCGAGCGTTATCGACGTAAGGGGCCGTCCATAAATGATGTCACGCACCTGGGGCGTGGGGGGAGGGGTTAGACATTTGTGACGATGTGTGACGAGGGGGGGGGGGTTGATAAATGTGACGTCACATCAAAATGCTCAACTTTAAATGAATATAGACAACACGTTCTACTTAATTAAATAGACTTTTTAATAAATGTTTTCTCCTACAACATCAGAGTGCAGCGCCACATTAAATACGCACTACAATGACAATAGTTTAAAGCGATTGGAAGCATGTTTTTTTTTCAAAATGGAAATATGTTTTTTTGGGGGGGTCTGACGTCATATTTTAGGGGGGGGTCTGACTTTTTGTGACGCCGTGTGACGAGCGGGGCGGGGGGGGGTCAAAATCGGCCGAAGTCGCGTGACGTCATTTATGGACGACCCCTAAGCCACTATCACTAGAATATAATAACACCGTCCCGAAATATCCCAACATCATTGTACCCTGTATTCCCGTAATACCGAAAAACAGGTTCATCAAAATTATATGGACACGGTAAGGATGAGATAGATGTGGCGTGCCAAATAATGTCTGGACTGTTCTGGCTTAAATGATGCACTGTTCGTGGAAACTCAATGTGATATTTTGAACATTTTTTTTTTATGCGGGTAGAGAAAGAATTTGTTCTGCAATGGAACAATAAGTGACAGCTGTCATTTGAATTCTCACAATCATCCTGTAGTCTAAGCACTAATTGGATTTTTTTCTTCGTCCAATATATGATTAAATATCAAAATAATATATATTTTGTGAGGGATTTGTTTATATTCTCTAGCATTTTAAGGAATATTCCCACGCGAAAAGAAATACATTAATAGGAGCACAAATTAAAAAATATGCAGCAATTTTAAATGGTCCGTATCTGTCTTCTGTATTTCTTCCTATCACCTCGTTGGTGTTGCTATACATTTAATATTATTATCATCATTAAATGTCTTTCCAACTTCTATCCATCATTTCAATTCGGTGTTATTTTGTGACGTGGGACAAAAAAACATCCCGTTTAGCCAGTAAGACAGCTCGTTTCAGTGTATTTAGGTGGAGAGGAGCCCGGTCAGCAGCCAGCCAGGAAACACGAGGCATCGATAATCGTGTCTTTAAGAGTCGTATGATTGACTTAATACTAAATGTCTGCGTCTTCACGATGAGAGGTGGCCCTTCTGTTACAATCGTGGCAACAGGGTAATGCTGCCCCCATCAGTAGAACATTGGCAGTGTTTGACAACGTGGCATTCTCTGCAGTAGGTAATTTGGCAAACAGCCGGGCTGTTTACGCAATTAAATACAATTACGTTGTTTATACGCGCGCGTGTATGGTGAGCGTAGTGGTTAGCGCGCTGCACTACGAACCCGGCGACCCGGTTTCGATTACCGCTGACGGCCAACACCGGTGGCGATTTATCATAACCTTTCCTGGGCCTCCTCTAGGTCGACCAAGCCTCAAGTGAGTACCTGGTGCGGTGTGTAAACATCGCCACTAGAGACACAAAGGAGGTCTGGCGTGGTGCTGGCCACCCACCCCCTCGTGTATAGTACAGTCTTAAATTAATATTCTTCCCGGTTTGGTATGTAAACATCAGCACTTGGGGAGACAAAGGTGGCCACGCATCGTTATGACCATCCCCCCCCCCGTGCACTACGCTGACGTCCATAGGTGCTCGCTGACAGAAATCTCACCCAGATCGGGAAGAACGCTGCTCGTGAACAGTGGAACAACGTGTACGTTGTCCAGAATAAACTCCTCATTCGAGACCCAAACATCGCAACCTCGTGGTTTATTCACCTGAGCATCGAATTACTCTCATGGTGCCCCCCCCCCCCCCCACTACAGCTCTGCCCCCCTCCCACCAACTTGGGGCTAGGGAGTTGGGGCGAGCGAGTTGGGGTGAGGCTTTGGTGATCACTGACTTCTTCAGCGTGCTTATTTTGGATGCTGGTGTTCATAATAGATGATACCCGTACAGCACTGTTTGAAATACTAATACGGTGGGGTTTCAACATTCAACTCCCAACTTCGTCAAATAGTTAATTATGAAAACATCCTATCTGATTCACGTTGCTATATGAGTCATGTTATCAATTGGAAACTGAATGCTAAGTCCAACACTCTATGACTAAGGGCATTGTAGTGCACTGTGATGTTTTGAAAGTTCATACGATATAGCGTACCTTGGAATTGTAGTGTAGCAGAGATGACCACAATGGATTATGAACCTGTTGACCTGATAATAGGTTTTTACCCTTTTATCTGGCAACAAACTGACACCTTTTTACAAGGGATCATGTTTGCATTAACTGCAATACCTGCGGTCAAAATGCATAAAAAAACAACTCTGACAATGTATACATTGTCCTTGAAATTGATTGGTCCACACCCGAGACAGCTTTTCTTAGAGCCCAGTCTCACATGGTGTTGGACCAGATGACGCCAAAAGGCGCACTGTTGACCTGATTTCAATTATCCGACCACTGCTAGCATCAGTGGTCAGTTGCTGATATTTTAACCAGTCCTGGACCTTCCCTAGGTCGATTAAACCTTAAATAAATACATGGTACCAGCACACTGAAGATAACAGCGGACAGGCATGCTGTTGGCCACACCATCCCAAGTGATAGCCGAGCGGGTCCAGGGCCATCCCTTCACCAACCCTTCCTGACCAGTCTAGTGAAGTATGGTCAAACGATCCAATGACCCATGCATTGTGGAGAAGCGCTCATCCAAAAGTGGACTGACAAGGCGCTGAAATATAATAATATTAGTACACTATATTAATTGGGGCAGACTTATTTCACAACATGTGAACAGATTTAGAATCATGCAATGTTCCTGGTCAAAAGAATGCAAGTACTATATTCTGAGTATTATAAGGCTCTCCGGAATGCAAGATGCAGCCACAAATAATGCCAGGTGTCAAGAAAGTTATGCATATCTGGCCACACACACAACACACAAGCACCTACCGCATTGTAAGACGCACCCACAACTTTTGCTTCAACACACACAGCGGGGGGGGGCAAGGTTTTGTCTCATAATCTGAAGAATGCGGTAAGTGTCATTCTGGTGAACAGAGTGGGACAACGGCGGACGTCCAGAATAAACGGTTCCTCATTCGAGACCCAAACATCGCAGCTCCTGGCTTTGACATTCCTCATCCCCGTCAAAGACGCTGGTGG